AGACAGGCAGGCAGACAGACAGACAGATTAAGATTTTTATAACATTAGAATACTGTACAGGAAACCCTCGCTACTCGTGGGTTTGGCATTCGCAGTTTCAAATATTCGCGAATGCTGAACCCACATTTTAAATACACTTTATACACTTACAGGAGCTCCTCGGGATCTCCACGCTTGCTGCCGCTGCACTCCCACCGTCATCGTCGGAGTCGTGCCCACCCCCCAGCCATCAGGGGCACTGAGTTCATGAACGCAGTGCCTTATTTGCGGATTTCGCCATTCGCAGGGGATATGAGAACATATCCCCCACAAATGGTGAGGGTAGCCTGTACTTTAATTTTAGCTCACTACCTTGTTTTCACTTTATGATAAGTCAAGGAGTTTGCACCATAGTAGCAATAACTTAGACATTTGCTTAAGGTTTGTTGTTGTTTCTGGAATAAAGGCTTGTCTATATACCAAATCATTAAACTGGTTTTAATGTATATCTTTGGTTATCTTCATGCAAGGCTACTGGTACATATTCCTTTTTAAGAGTAAAGAGTGCAATTTAAGTTCAATTCAATTAGGGCACTCTTATTCTGACAGAAGAGTGCCCACAACTAGACCTACAGTGAGATAACCAAAGACATGAATTAAAATCAGTTTCTTTTAACCCAGTTTGTGTGTAGACAAGCCATAAGTGTATGTAAAGGATCTAGAACCTGGAAAATAAAAAAGTGTAACATACACAACAGGTTTGGCTTGCAGAAAGACTGAATCTGCATTCCTGGCCCAAGATCAGCATTACCTGCTACATTATATTTAAAGTTACTTAGGGTGGTGTCCTGGCTCTCTGGGGAAACGCAAGTAGAACTGCTTTGCTCCACTGGTTCCCTGCCAGCCATTCCAATTCCTTCAGTAACTGGACTGTCCCTGCACAAGACAGTGCTGTTAGAAACCCCATTTATACTCTTACAATCCACATACATGATACAACATACTACCCAGTTTATTTTGTTTCGAGGCATTGTTTGTTATGGGCTACAACAGGGGTGGACAACTATTTGGGATGGAGGACCATGAGTTTTGGTGAGCTGCTAAGGGCCACATACACGAAATGAATGGTATTTAACAATAACTATACTTAAACATCGTTGTGGCATTTATAGTATAAAGGATCCTTCATGTAATTTCCACACTTAATCAAAATAACACGTATTAACATACATAACAACACTTATTAACATGCTAATGAACACGATACAGGTCTACCTAAAACTAAGTTGTGGGCCGGACAGAATCAATCAGTGGGCCATGTTTTGCCCACCCCTGGGCTACAGTTAGCCGTATGGTAAGCTGTTCCACATGCTGTAAAAGCTTGCGTGTCAAACATCAACATTTTCCCTGGGATTTCGCTTAAATAAAATATTCCTTTTTTCCTGGATATTTATTTCATAGGGCACAGGAAGAAAAGAAGATGACAAGAACATAGGCTAAGAAGTGGTCTACTGAGGAGGTAAGTCATAAATGGCTCAAGGGAGTGGAAGGTCTAAATGCAGATACATCAAGGAAGAATGAGATACCTGACTTCTGCCTGGTTCCCACATAAATTTAGTAAATATTAAAAAAGAAATGAGTAGGAGTGTGATTTTACACAAAGTAAGTCAGTACTACCCATAACCATGGGTGCAGCTACACCCTTTTAGATCCTTGTATAATTCAATAGAAGTTAAAAACACTGGAACATCACAGCCATAAATCAGCTCGTGATCCACCTTCATTCTACTGACATGATACACATTAGAAACTGCTGCAAGCCTACAGGTAAAACATTTAAAAAGATCAAGTTCAGAAATATTTTATTGAGGATACATTACACCAACATAAGTACATTTCTATTGGTATAATTACATTCACACGATACATCCACCCCCCAAACTGGACACAGTACTCCATGTGAGGTATTACCAGTGCGGCGCAGAGCGAAAGAATCACTTCCCTTAATTTGCAAGAGCTACTCCTTGCAAATCAAAGGAAGAGATTCTTCCACTCTGTTGCACAGATAAGGCCTCACCTGGAGTACTGTGTCCAGTTTTGTGCCCCACACTTCAAGAAAGATGTGGACAGTTTGGAAAGAGCCTAGCAAAGAGTGACAAAAGTAATTAAAAGGTCTGGGAAACATGATTTAGGAGGGAAAACTGAAAGAACTAGCTAGTATTATTTAATCTGGAGTAAAGATGACCGGGGGGGGGGGGGGGGGGGGGTGCTGTATTTAATAACAGCCTTCAAATACCTGAAGGGTAATTATAAAGTGGATGGAAATAGATTTTTCTGTACTCTATAGCTGTTAAGAATAGAGTACTAGGAACAATGGCCTCAAGCTGCAGGGGAAGAAATTTAGGTTGGAGATCAGGAGGTACTTTCTGACAATGAAGGTGGTCAGGCATTGGAACAGGCTATCTAGTGCTGTGGAATCTTCATCCCTGGAAAATTTCAAGAGCAGGGTAGACAAACGCTTGATTGGGATAGTTCGGTCAGAGGTGATCCTACCTTGAGCAGGTGACTGGACAAGATGACCTCATGAGGTCCCTTCTAGCCCTACTTTCCTAGGATACATCCACATGTTTCTACATTAAGATAGTAGTGAAAGACTTAAGATCTTTGTAAACAAGCTCCCATTACAGAATAATGTATCAAAATATTTCTATTTAAAGATCTGATGAATACAGGAACAAATCTGTTAATGAAAATAAAAATTGATTTTTGTATTGATTGGTGATCACTGCTAATAAGAATGGTAAAAGCCTTGCAAACTCAATTTTAGATGCACATTAAGTAAAAGCCACTTAATTTCTGTTTCCCCCATGAGTGAAAATAAAGAGTTTCAAATAGGGCCTTGTGAAATACTCAAAAACAAAGACATCTGACCCCACTGGTGTTAGAAATGCACCTCAAAGTAGAAATGAAGAAATAAGAAGCATAAATCCAGACTAGCGTTAGTTTCTTGAAGTCATTTTTATCTACATATGATGAAGTTTGTAAATCTATTTTCCCCATACAACAGTTCAGCTACAGAATAAGTGCTTATGGAAAATCTGCCCTGAAAATCAGGAGCTAACTGCAAAAGAAACCACACAAATTGCTTTTTGTTAAAACATTTATGGCACAAGGAGTAGCAGCCAGCAAAATTATCTGCAGTAGTGGAGGACCCCACCCATCTCCTTATCTGCCTCTCCCTTACAGCAGAACACCACAATCTGGAGGTTGCTAAATCAATACTTAGATAAGCTTTGCCATCCAATTTTTCAATTGTTGGCTAAACTAAGCAGCTCATTCTTTTCCCAGTCATGAAAGAAAGCCTCTTTCAACATACCCAGGGAGAGTTTCTGTTCCTCTTCCTGCCCCTTGTTCCAGTTCTTCCAGCAGTTCCACTGAAATGCAAAGCAATACATTTTATTAACAGCTCTGACCTCTGCATGTTTTTAACCAGGGAATAAACTCAATCCCCAGAAAATTGAAAAACAGTCACAACTGGCACTAGTTAGTAAAGAACTCAAATTCTGACTCTATTTTCTTGCAGTCATAACACAGTGAAAAGGGGGAATTCACTGTAAAGAGCGATCCCAGATCAATCTCTCAGTTCCATAGACTGATATAGACATATTTCGTAGTTGCTTCATACAGGATAAACCAGCCTGCGCTACAGCATCTCTGCTAAAACTAGTTTGTCCCTCATAAGTCCACAAATGTGTCATCAGGATTAATTCTACAGATGGTTTTGTTGTAACTGGGACAACCAGAACAGGCTAGTAGGATATATGCAGGGAACTATCATATCAACATTGGGACAGCCTTTGCTACTCCTTGCTACTACTGTCTTTGCTCCTAAAGGTAAAACTGATAGTGCCGCCTGCAAACCTTCCCCTCCATACATCCCCCTCCACCACACAGCCAACACCTTTAAAAAAAAAAAGTCTAACCATGCTACCCTGGGACAGACCCAGTCTAGAGTCTCAGAGTAGCACACTGCTCACATATTCACACAGAAAGGCATAATTTGTGGAAATAGCAGCAAAACAAAACTAATTTGAATCATGCAGAAGGCAGGGTAGAGATACACCTTCTACACCATCTAAATCAAAGATGCACGTACGTTTGTAACCCCATGCTTACTTCATCTCATGTTATATTAGTTAGTTTAACTCCACAGCTTGGCTTATTAGTATAATTCTTCTTAGAAGGACAAGCACTCTCTTTTCTGTCTTTTATGAGATAGGAGAAAAGACAAGCACAGGCAATAATGGAATTCCCCATATTGCTCTTCCATCTAGTCTTCCTACAAATTAGTGGATTAACTAAACAAAGTGAAGCAGCTAACCAAACACCCAAGACAAACACATTATGAAATGATTTTGGTAATTTATTTTGCCAGTTACAGTTTGTCACAACCCAAAGTTGTGGTTTTTCTTGTGTGTGCGTGCTTCGGCATTGTTAAATCATGTTCCCGCCAAATTGCAGCTCTTTTGCACGGTGGAGTGTTCTGCTGCAACAGAGAACCCGCGTGCAGGAGCTTTTACCGCCAGTTCTGTAGCTTTCTTTGCATAGTTCGTTTCTTTTGCATTATAGTAATGTGTGATGCAAGGAGTCCCTGCCATTTGTATTGGGATTCGCACCACATTATTGGCCAGTCTTAATGTAGGCACACGTGGTGGCTAGCTATTGGCTTGCTAGCCGTACAAAAGGCTTGGGTGGTTTCTGCCCAAATGGGAGAGAGAGAAAGCATGTGGAGTTTGGGAAAGGAGTGTGAGAATCTCTAAGCGCTGCTGATCCATATGAACCCAGCTTTTTCCTTAAGAGGGCAACAGAGGTTTAATTTGTTGAACCCACGGAGCTTCAACAACTCCGCAGGACTTATTTACCGTCCCCTGGGAGCCTTAACGACTCCGAGGCAACTAACCTCTAGCCTCTCCCCGTTGCCGATCGCAGCCCAGACGTATCCCTATCCTAAGGACCCAATTGTCGAGCCCACGGAGTGTAACAGCTCCGGTGGACCTGGGAACCGAGTAACACTCACGGAGATACAGTTGCTCCGTGGGAACGAATTCTTGAAACCCGCGGACCCTGAATCACTCCGGGGTCAAGGAACCGAGTGTATTAGAGTCCTCCACTGAGAACTCCAGCGGAGCTGAGCCTGGAAAGCTGACCAGCCTACACCGCGACCACCTTGGGTGTAAGTAAATAATCTTTTCAATCAACCATTACGCCTCCGTGACTGATTCTAGCTAGAGCGTGTCATACCGCACTGTGGTCTTTTCCAACCCCGTGTACCCAGGCTACCGGCCACAGCCTGTGTACACACAAAGATGGGTCCCCGGCTCACCCCGGCTCGCACATGGCAACCCAAATGGGATCGGGAGAGAGCTCGCACATGGCAACCCAGGCGAGATCGGAAGTCGGCCCGCACACCGTTTAGCTTTAATCAACTATTGCACCATTCATAGTGTAATAATAATGTGGCATATTTAATACTATATTAAAAAGAGATTAACAATTATTTTTAAAAATCTTTTGAATAAAATGGTATCAATTTTAGAAATAATTTTTATAGGACCCCCCTCTTTATGTTGACTTTAATGGGCTTTTGGATCAGCCCTGCATAGCCCATGATATGTTCAAAACATTAAATAATATTGCCTAGCTAATTAATCTTCACCTTTTGAAGTTGATGAGCAAATATTACTAACCCCGTTTTATAGTCCTGGCAATCTTGGGTACCACTTCCATGCAAATTAGCTTTATGATCACTTTTTCCTACTTTTTAAATCTCTCTTATGTTGTGCAATAGGATGAAACAAAAATGAGGAAACTGGCTGTCACATGCAAAGCAGCAAAAGAAAAAAAAAAAAAAAAAGGAAAAGATAATATACAAAGTACTGTCAAAAGCACTAAGTAAACAAAACCCCAGAGGAAATATCTTCCCTTAACCTCCAATTATAGTCTTTGTATGTGGTATTTACTTTTGTAAGTAACTCATTTTCAGAGAGAAGGGTGATTTTAAAATGATAGTATTCTTTTAAAATCACAGTATTCAGAGACCTCACTGCAACATTGGCTCTCACATCTTTGTTGAAAGATAGGAAAATTCAGCAATTTTGTGTGTAGGCTATAGAACGTGCAGGTTACTGAAATACTAATGAGGTTTGCAGTGTGTTGCTTAAATGATTATATCTAATGATTCCATTTCATTTTTTTCCATTTTTATAATCAATTACTTAGATTAAAACCTTTTGTTAAAATGACTCATTTTCTAGCTGTCAAGCATTAAAACTAGTCTCTAAACACTCTAGGGGAAAAATTAAAATCTAAATAAAAAATTATCAGAAATGCTTTTCTACTTTGTGAAAATACTAATCAGGGTTTGGGGGCTTTTTCTTCTTTAATATACATATAAACATAACTTGAATTTGGGGTCTAAACCACATGATAAAATACCTACTTTTTATTAAGATTCTTACTACAATTACTTACTTCCTTAAGAAATGTATTTACTAAAATTCATTATCCATCTTATTAATTAATTATCCATTATTCCATCCAGGAAGAGCACACCCCAACTGCTGAAACTTCCTTAGCCTGATGAAGGGTTTTTGAACCCGAAAGCTTGCTTAATAACTATTCTCCAACCATTTGGGTTAGTCTAATAAAAGATATCGAATTCACCCAAGGAACCTTGTCTGCCTATATCCTTAGACCAACACGGCTACAACCCAAACCCCTTATCCATCTTAGACACTTACATGGCCCCCACATTACCATAGCACATGAGCTGTTCTTAATTCATTTACTCTCACTATACTGCTGACAGACAGAGAAGTGCTATTATTCCCCTTTTACTGATGAGCACCTGAAGCAGAGAGAAAGTGATTTGTCTTATGTCACACGGAATGTCTGTGGCAGTCTCAGGTCCTAGGCGAGGCCTTTCGCCTTCATGCTTATGACTTAATCAAAATTTCTAGCAACTTGACTAAAGAAGCCTGAATTGGAACCAACATTATAGACAGCAAACATAAAAAAACGTTAAGCGTGAGAATACCCAAGACACTCATCTTTCATGTATAGTAACAGAACGTTCTCACCATTCAGTATTTCATGACCAAAAAACATCTTTACTCCTGGCATACTTCTGCCACTTTCCAAGTTTTTCACTGAAATAATTAAAAAAAAAAAATCACATAGGCTGATCATTTTTTTACAATTAAATATAAGAATTAATTGCGCCAAAATGAAGGCAAAACACAGTAACTGTTCTTTTTACTAATGACATATGGCAAAAACACAATATCAACTATTTAAAATGGGTTTTTTTTATTGTTTTTTGTTTCACTTTTCCTTTAGGGAAGGATACTGTATGAAGCTGTCTGGTGGACAGAACAGGCTAGCTATTGCTATGCAAGCCAACTTCGGAGCACAATTGGGTCCCTTGCTTTTAACTTAACATTAAATAGGAGCATTACATTCATTACATTTCCTACTGCTTGTTCTTCATTATGTGAGTCAACTGCATATTTCTGAAATCAACAGATGGTTAGGCTGTGCCTGGTACATTCAGCAGCAGGTACATTCTGTATGGAAGATCAAGCTGACAGTTCTAGTTGGTTTTTTGAATGATTGAAGCTTAATTATTTTTAGACCTATCAGTGAAAGTCAACCATTGAGTAATTTGACTGGCACAGGTTCAAGTTAGACAGAACTGGTTATTGCTGACCAAGCATAAATAAATTAGGATCTCTTGCCATGCCTATTAACTCTTGAAATGTAGTCCATGCACCAAATGAACTTGGTCAACAAAAGTCCTGAGAAGATATTATGCTTCTATTCCACTATAAAAGTCTAAATAATCTTGAAAGGCAAAAATCACAGATTTCTGCCTTGAACATTCAGAATCTGGGCAAGCAGCAGTCTCCATCTGTCTAGTGTAATGTTACCCCCCCCCCCCACACACACACATTCCCCAATGCTTTCAGGGAGGATGCTCTCTAGCATGCCTAGTCCACCTGCCACCACTTGCATGTGCCAAATCTGGAAATGTGAGAGCAAAACTAACTTGGGGTGTCCCCTGAGACATCCCTTAAGCTTGCCAGTGACCAAGCTCTTGAAAGTAAACATATGGGCAGGAGGTGACCAAGAGTCATTTTGTTGCAGTACTTATGGGTTTGGCATGTGTGAGAATGCTTCTGACATGGTTTAGCCTCAGAAAAGAGCAGAAAAATCTGAGTGGTACAACACTCCATTTGGCTTTAGCATAGCAAAATTGCCATATTATATGCAACTAATCTTCCTCACAAAGTAGAAAATGTTCTAATCTAGCCCCTTTTCCATTCCGGTGGGAGACATTCCTAGACACCCCTCTCTCATTACAATGTAGGACAAGGAATGCCATCAGACCCACCCTTCCACCATGGGATGTGGCACTCCAGCAAGTCCCTACCCCATTCAATCTAGAGAATATAGACACCCCTTCAAGATCATGCGCTCTAGCATCTACACAATTACATTATTTCTTTTGATTCCTTTGAAGATTAGTATAGAACCACCTCTGCTTAAAAGAATACTTCTGTTGGAATCCACATGCTGCAACACCCCCTGGAAGAGGCCACATTTCAAGGTGATTTTCATTGTTCTTCCCAGAATCTTGTTGAGGAATTGGTAATCACTGCTAAGATCCATGCTAGCTGATCCCCAAACCAGTTCCTTTAGAAAAGTTGTGCTCAAAGCAGGGTAGAACTCCTCGCACTAAAAGTTTATTTTTTCTTCAGACACCTGCAGGACAGTCCAACAAGAAACATAAAAAGATAGGGTAGAATAATCATTTGAACATCTCTGCTGGGTGACTCAGCGTCTGGGCAGACAAAACCAGACTGGGGACAAAAACTCCCCAGCCTGTAGTTGTTTTGGCTCCATAAATATATGGAGCCTTTGGATTCATAAGCAATTGTTTGTTCAAAAGCATCTGAGAGATCATCTCCTCCAGGCCCTCTCACACAGCCCAGAAAGCAGACTGTGAAAAACAAGCCTTATAATTAATGTGCAATAGGAAAAGAACAAGGGAGAGAGGAGCACTGCCAACACCTTGATGCTGAGAGACAGGGAACTTGTTAGATTAGTGCAGGCACTGGGATGCCTGTCCCGAGAGCAGGGCCATGCCCTGGGCTCCAGAGGAAGGGAAAGAACAAAAACCGTGGTCCCTGCCAATCCGACCTGAAAGAAAAATCCGTCCTGTCCCCTGCCCTGATCAGTTTGACTATGAGCACATGGGTGAGGCTCTCCAGGCAAGTCCCTGAGGGGTGTCTAAGCGCTGGCAGAGCAGCAGTGCACTCAGCCAGTTCCTGGGGGTTGCCCCGCCCAGTGCTTCAGAGGAAGCTGAAACAGAACCAGACGACGCCGTTGTGAGGGGGGAGGAGACCCCCCCGGCCGAGAAAGGCGGGCAGCCGGAGGCCTGACGCCCGGGCCCCGCACACCGCCTACCCGCGGGGGCCGGTGTCCTTCGGCCTGTTGAGGGAGTACACCCGAACCCCTCCCTCCAGCCCGCGAGAAGGCGCAAGACTGGAAGCTGGGCAGGAGAGCCCATACACAGCACGTGACGCATCTCTCAGCCCAGCTCGGGGCGTGGGCGCCACCTCGCCTCCTATCTGCAGCAATCAGCCACTCGCAGTGCGCAGGCGCAGCCCGTCTTCCACGCCCCGGAGCGCCTACAGCTCCCACAATGCACTTGCCGATGGGGGCGGAGCCGCCATTGCCTCCTGGGACCGGTAGTTCTCCCGGCGGGCGACGCATTCGGGCCCTCCGCGAGATGACGTCAGAGAGCCCGCGAGATCAAAAGCTGCTCGGGGGGCGCAAACAACTGCTCTCTGCTTTAGCCTTGCCCCTTGTGGGCGGAGCCGGGGGCAGGGGCAGGGGCAGGGGCAGGGCTAACGGCAGGGCTAACAGCTGGCGACGGCGGGGCTAACAGCTGGCGTCGGCGTCGGCGTCGGCGCCGCGAGCTCGCGCCTCTAGTCGTTTGTGAGCGCCCGGGATTGTCGGTCTGGCAGTTCCTGCTGTGTCGCCCCCCGCGCTACGTGCGGTCTGCCGGGCGCGATGGGCTCCCGCGCCTCCACGCTGCTGCGGGACGAGGAGATCGAGGAGATCAAGAAGGAGACGGGCTGTGAGTGCGGCCGGGGAGCGGGTGGTCAGCGGGCGGCCCGGGAGGCGCAGGCCGGGCCGCGGGCCGGGGCTCTGCGGACAGGAGAGGACCTGCGAGCGCGTCGCTTGTTGCCTTGTGCATCCTGGTCCGCGGGAGGTGTGCTGCGCCGCGAGGCTTTCCCTTCTCTCACGGAGCTACCCACGAGCTTTCTTCTCTGGAAACCGTGGGAGCCCCCGTGGAACTTGGCTTGGCCCAGCAGGTGGCTGGAACTAGTCACAGAGTTCATGCTTTAAGGGGAAAAAATGGAAAAGGCCCTTCTGCCCTCTTGTTTTCTCTCTCCCAGGTGTCTTGGAGCTAGTTCCAGTGTTGTTGGAAAAATCTGGGGGTGGTCAGTCAGCAGACTCCTGACCATTGGTACCTTCCACCAGTGCTTGTCAACCTTTTTTGGACCAGGACCCACTTGTAAACATTGATGGCCAGTCCCAACCCAGTGCCCCTCGCTCCCAACCTGCTGTCCCCAGGCCCTAGTGTGTGGGGCATGGGCGGAGGGAGGGCACGAGGGGCCCCAAGCAGCCCGTTGCGAGCTGGGATTCTGCCCATCTCAAGCGAAAAGCCACTATTTCCCATGTTTTTCTCCTTTTAAAGGAGAATCCATTTTTTAAATTTGTTCGTGACCCTTTCATATATTCTTGTGACCCACTTGTGCGTCACGACCCACAGGTTAAGAAACGCTGCCTTTACACCATCCTTTGTGTTCAAGCTAATATTGGGAGATAATTCCTAGAGCTTCGCTGAGCTCTGGCTCTGCCTAATGAACACCTAGAGCAGGGGTGGGCAAAATGCCACCCACAGGCTGAATGCGACCTGCCAGGTCATTCTGTCTGGCTCGCGAAGCCCCTAAAAATTTTAGAAAATTCATATTTATCTGCCCCTGGCTGCCTGTCATGTGGCCCTCGATGGCTTGCCAAAACTCAGCAAGCGGCCCTCTGCCCAAAATAATTGCCTGCCCCTGACCTAGAGTATCATCAGCAGAGTGGCAGTTTGTGACAAGGGCAGGTGCTAGAGCTTGTGCCCTGATTGGCACTTAAATATTTTGCTTGGCTGTCTTGTGAGACTTGCATTTCCAGTTCAAGCTTTTTTGGCTTACCTTGTTAATCTATCCTTGTCTCTCTTTTTAGAATTTTATGGTTTGGATTTTTTAATATATTTGTAGAAACAAACTGTTGATTGAAGATTACTTTTTTCTACCTTGGTTCATGCTGTCACCTGTAAACTGTGGCAGGATATTAGTCTCTGACTTTATGAACTGGAAAAATACAATTAATAGTCACTGCTTAGGAACTTGATTCTCCTCTGTCTTGTGCAGTGCGTGAAGTTGTTGGAAAATTCCACCATGCCATTAACACCTCAGTAATACTTTGCACAGTTGTAAATGCCTACGCAAAGTACAAGATAGTATTCTGTCACTGAACTTTGTTTTGTGTACGTTGGTGACCTGCAGTGTAAGTATGGCTTTAAAAGTGGATCACTCACAAGAACATTTAATGGCCATCAACTCTTAAAAAGATACTTTGTGCTAAATAGTTCTTGAAGAGAATCTAGCAGAAATGGAATAAACTGGACCTTTAACCGTGCCATGCTTATGCTATGAAATCATCCCAGGGTATCCATTCCCTTCTGTCTCCGTGTTAATCTGGTGGATAGCAGGAAGTAGGAGCACAAGTGTAGCAGCACTTGGTTGAAGCATAAAATTTTTTGGTGGGATGCTTGTTTGTGGTGCATTTTAGCTTTTAAGTATCCTCTTATCTCTTCATTCCCTCTCCAAACAAAGGAGGACTTTTCTAGTAATATGGCGTCTGAAAGTAATACGAAGTTAGTTTGAAGTCAGACAGAAGGCAGAGAACTTGCCCTTTATTGACTGAATAAATTGGTGTTGCTTAGGTAAGCTTTTTGTAAGCAGCTGCTTACTTGTTCAGAAGTTATGAAGCTGAATGGTTGGTAGTGTTAATCTAGGTTATGTTCCACTTGTCTGCTTTCTTGTGTGGTATGGATCAAAAAAGGCTTTGGGTCAGCAAACCAATTTCACAACTGTGCCTCTTGTTAGTCTCTGGTCATAACAGTAATTCTAGGAAAACCCACCTTTTCAGGTAAGACTTTTTAGAAATATAATGGTTTGAAATTCCCTTTAACTTCCTGCTAAGCAGCTGGTAACTTCCAGCAGGTTCCTGAGTGATAACTTGATGAACTTTAACTGCATATTTACAGATGGAGGTAGTACCAGGCCAAATCCTGCTCGTCTTTGCAGTACTGCTGTTTTCTTGGTTTTTTTTCTGATCACTTTGGGATCTTATTTGGAGCTTTTCTTTTGAAGTCCTCTTAGGATCTCCTCTGAAGTGCAAGTGTAGGAAAGTGGTGAATGATGCCCCTTCTGCAGAATGTTGCTTGTCAACATTTGGTTTTCAGGAAACACAGGAATGACCCATTAAGCTCACACCCTCTGTTCCCTTTTTGCTGAAATAACACACCTAAGCATGGACTGTGAAGTGCAACATAACCTCTAGCATAGAATACCTGTTGGTCTGCCTGTCTGAGAATTTTCTGGATCATGTGATCTTGTTTTATGCCTGATGCAGGTTTTGTTTTGTCTGTTCCTTCCCTTTGTTTCTCAGAAGTGAAAAGGCATTGAAGCTAGTTTGGCATGTATGCTTTCTTCCCCTTACTCCCTGGCACCCCCCCCCCCCAAAAAAAAAAACCCAACAACAAACAAACAACAAAAAACCAAAAAAACCTCTGGTTGCAAGTGAGGGAAGCTTTTCTGACCATGCGAGTTGATATTTAATGTTTTTCAAAATGTCACTCTAGGTGTTTTCCTCCACCCATAAACAGTTGTTGCAGGAAATTTTCTGACAGTTACTACACTGCCTATCTTAGACACTAAGTATAAATCCTTAATCTGAAATAAGGCATAGTTCTTGTTTTAAGAACTCGTAAATCTCTAAATTTTGGAAGTGAATTTGAAATATAATGGGTTAAAATTTTCATGAAGTCTCATTTCCCACAGTCTCACCAATGAGGACAAGTAGGAATGTAACTTTCTTGGGGACAGGGGTCGGCAACATAGCCTGTGGGCCAGATCCAAATCTGGCTTGCAGAGCTGAAAGATTTTGCCTCTACTCATACCCCTGTGGGAGCTGTACTAGGGGTGGGCAGCTGGAAGCTACATCTGCATTTGCCACTGCCACTCCCAGCCCCCCCTCTCCCTCTGGTTGAATTGTGGTCGCAGCTCCCAGCTGCCTGGCCCTGGCTCAGTTCCCCATTATCTGGAAGTTGCATTCATGCCATGGGTGGGGAGGGGATGGACTGGGAGAAGCAGCAGCAACACCTGGCCATGGTGCCAACACAAGCAGATCCCCTTGCTGCTAATGCGCTGCCAAAGCCACCTTGTTCACCCTGGACTGGGGCTGGGTTGTTCTGACCTGTAACTTATAAAGGTTGTTGGTCCATTCCTGCTCTAGTGCCTCTGTTCTCAGATTTGTCAAGCAATAGCAAAGTGAAATAGATATAGCGTAAAGATGTGGTTAGCTGTGTTAGTCTGAAGTCAGGCAGTTTGAATCCATTAATCTCTATAAGGTACTAGAGACGTATGAGCTTCCAGAGCGTAGTTTTTAGCTTCATCTCCCCCTCCCCCAAGTTCTGGATAAAATTGAATGTTGGCAAGTGTTCATCTCTCTTTCATTCAAGAAAGCTCTGAAGAGTAGAGTTGGGCATTACAGTTCTCATGGGAAAGGAGGGTTAAAGAGGGAGCTTATGTGTATTGGTAGGTGGGTGTTAATCTTCCCTTCTTCAGCACGTGTGAGACTCAGCAGGGAGGAGAGACAATGTTTTTTTTTCTCTACTTCAGCAGCTGTTGAAGAAAACTTCATATTAACTAAGCACTAGCAAGCTGGGAGGTGATCCAAGTGATGGAGTCCTAAATCTCAGCACCTTCTACCTGTAGTTTGCCCTGGACCTTGTTGGTATTCCTCTCCACCACCCCTTCTCTCATATGCATCTGGTAAATGTTCCAACTTGGATCTAGAACAGGGGTGGGCAATTATTTGGGCCTGCAGGCCACATAGGTAGTTTTGGGGAGCTGCTGTGGGCCAGTCAGCACCCCCCATGCTGACAGCCCAGAGCCGGTGTGCCCTGCAGCTCCTCCCTGCCAAAGCCAACAGTGCATAGACCCAGCCCCAACTCTGGCCCCCTGCTCCCGCTCCAGACTTGCCCCAGCCAGAGTGGACCAGCCAGAACTTGCGCACACAGCCCCAAACCCAGCCTGTCCTGCCTCCCCCCCGCTCTGGACCGTCTGCCCATGCTGAGCAGCAGCAGCCGTTGGGTAGAAGCTGCTGGTGGGCAACAGGGGTGGGGAGTAGACCCTCCCCCTCACTGCTGTCAGGCCC